AATTGCGCAATTTTCTTTTCTTGCTTGTAAGCCGTGGAGCGGCTCAGAAACAACTAAAGGTTCTTTGCCTGCAGGCATTTGCCTCGTTTGAAATCCATTGCTCTGAAAGAGGCTAACTCTGCTTGACTGGTGGCTTACGCATGTGGTAACTTACCTGTGGCAGACTGGTGGGCACACAGCACAGGAAACATTTGGATCCAGGCTAGTCAGATTTAAATAAGACACTAACATATTCATACTCATGACCCGAAAACAAAAGCAGGTAGGATGAGGACATACCTCTTGCACTGAACAAGGTAAAACCACTCGGCTGAAAGAGGAAAAGAGCAAATTCAACAAAATTAATAATTAGGCTTCACCTGCAGATAACAGATATAAACTGTAACAAAGACATTCAATAAAGAAGTGTCAAAATGAGTTAACTCAAGTTTTCTTTTCATCTGTGACAGTAAGGCTTCAATGGATATAATGCAACAAACCCAAGTAAAATTGAATGACAGATATGTTACAAAGGGAAAAAAAAAAAGGGATTAAGAACGTTAGCAGCTGCAGAGAAGAGCCAGGAAATCTAGGACCTACTTCCAGCTCTGCCACAATGTTGTATTTGTTTAAATTCTGTGGTGTGAGCTTTTTTCATGTGTTACACAGTAAGCAGTCCCATCTATATAATTTAAAAGGAGGACTAATGTGCAGGCCCTCAGAGCCTACAAATGAATTTTGGCAATTACAGCAGTTATGAATCATTTAAAAAGCAACCACAGCTCATATCCCATTTAGGTAGCATTTAGCAAGTGCGTTTTAGGCCTACAGTTTCATTCTAATACAATACATTGTACAGTTAACAGCAATATCAGGGGCTGCAGAAGTCGATTTTTCACAGCAACAGTACACTGTACAGACAGTATTTTTCAGTTTCACCTTACATAATAAAATGGACAAAGATGATGCACATCATTATTGTTGCAAAACAACATCATGGAACAACTGCATTGTTTCTAGGGTTTTTAAGTGATGTTACCTCCTTTACTGACAACCTTATGGCCATTCAGATTCAATGCAACACAATCCTCCTGAAAGCGTGAATCTAAGTTAAGCCTGTTTACTGTTCTAGAGAGGAAGAAAGTTATAGTTAACTGATTCAACTCTTGCTATCCCATGCTGCATCTGTACTTCATGAACAGTGAGCGTGATATGTTTTTGTTTAGGTACTACTATGAGAACAACTTCAGCAGCCTGGGTGCCCTGCACCCCCCTGCATGTCAGAAAATGCAGCAACCTTGAGGAGACAGGAACAATCATCCCTGCGGATCAAATTCAGTCTTGCAATTTCCATGCAACAACTTCTTTATCCCTGGATAAAGATTTTTCAATTTTAGTCTACTATGTACCTCACTGAAATAGTTTTATTTAAACTGTGAAACCTTTAGAGAGAAATTGAGAAAAACATAATCAGCCTCAAATGTCGGAAGTGTCAGGCTGAAAGCAGAGCTTGCATCCAAACACAGAACTGCCGAATGGCAAGCAAAATAAAATAAGGAGCCCTAGTATACCTCATTTTACCTGATAAAAAAAGGGTCCTTAAACATTTTTTAAAGCTTTCTAGCAAGACCAATAGTGACAGAAGACAGCTGTCTTGGCGTTAGCAGATGCTGACTCAATACCTAGAGGATGCATTTGTGGCTTGCAAGGCTGTAGAGGAAAGTTTTGGGCAACTTTGGCTTTAGTCTTTAACAGGACAATATATAAAATAGGAGTATAATCAGGAAAACACGGCAAACATACAGGTACAAGGAAAGGTGACAAAAAATTGTAAGGAACAAGTTTTTTTTTTGAACTTAAGAATGATGACAAACAATGGAATAATTCAAAGGAGCTGAGTAGCAAAGAAATCTGATGAGAACTTATAAATAAGTACATAGCCCACCATTATCTTGCAGGAAATGCAAGACAGATAGACAGCTTCTCCTACAAGGACTGGTGCAAGCTCTCACTAAAAGGCAAGAACAGCAGGACACTTGGTTCGGCACGCTGCGCTGCCAGATACAGCACTGGCACCTCTGTCCTGTCCATTTGCACCTACTCTCTGAAGTTCAGGTAAATGTCTGAAGTATCCTTGGAAGCCTGTTTGGAAACTCATACACACATTTGCTGCTATTATTTTGAACATACACATTGCCTTTACTACCACAGCAGAGGCTACCTATTATTAGACTTTGAGGTAATTCAAAGCCAAAGGGGTGGGCGGGTGGAACAAACCAGCTGGTGGTTTGCTGGCAGAAGACCTTAAGGGAAAGATCTACCCAAGAACATGAAGTCCCCGGCACCACCAGAAAAGATAACTGCAGAGCGATGAAGGACACTGACACCACTCCAGGACCGTCACCATTCCCACTTGAGTTCCTTTCTAAGCAGAACGGGGTCTCCATTCAAAAGTTCCTGAGATACAGCAATCCCTACGATATCTATCGGCTTTGCTGATAGGTCATATTGCCGCCTTCGTAAAACACTAGCCCCAGGGGAAAAAATCTGAGAAACTCATTGTGCGGGGACACAACTCACTTGCTCTGGGGCAGAGATTAACAGTCGGGATCTCCCGGACTGTAAGTACGCGCTCAAGTATGTGTGAAGTCGATGGTATATTCACTTGGTGTCAAGCAGCTACTTAAGGCTGAAGGCACGCGACGTGAAGCAGTGTACCGGCGCACGGAAACGGCAGGAAAGGACAAACAGACCCGCACCCAGGGTCGGCTGCACCCCGGCCCGGATG